GTATTTACAAAACAGAACTCAGCAAAGATGTATCAAACAGATGATCTGGTGTGTAATAAACTTGTACAAATAAAAATATTATGTGAGGATAAAACTGTAGAACATGAAATTTACGTGCAATTAAAATTATACAACAAATAAAATTACTGAGGTTAAAATTGTTAATTAGAAATATAGTATGAGGTGGTAAAATTGCAAGTTAACAAAATTTACAGGAGATTGATATTTGCCACACTTTATCAACGGTTCAAACAAAGATTTTACATTATGTTAAATTATGTCTTGATCTAAGTGATTGGTTACTTCAAAAAAAAACAATTTACTTTGAGAGTTTAAAATACCGCGAACTGGTTACCCCCAACAAAACACATAATAAACAAACACAAAAATATCCAATCATCGCTCCGAGGAAAAAGCGTCTCAGTGATGTAAATTTTAAAATCGTTGCGAGGAAAAAGCGTCTCGATGATGTAAATTTTAAAGTCGTTGCGAGGAAAAAGCGTCTCGGTGATGTAAATCTTAAAGTCGTTGCGAGGAAAAAGCGTCTGGGTGATGTAAATCTTAAAGTCGTTGCGAGGGCATGCCTTGATAAATTAATCAATCTGTAGCGTTGTGATGGCATGCCTCGATGAATTAATCAATCTGTAGCGTTGTGATGGCATGCCCCGATGAATTAATCATGATAACGATGATAACCGCCTAAGGGAAGAAAACATTTTAAACCCCTCCCGCCAGTTCGCAGTATAATGTACTTGTTTAACTGCCGTAAATGAACTATTAGCAATCTTGTGTGAAGAATTTAGAAGTGTTATAATGTAACACTTACGTATATGCATCCAGAAACCAATTCGTAATTAAACAACAAAGTGTTTTTCCTGACTAAGTGAATTTCATGAAATCTTCTAGCAAGTGGTTTATTTAAATAATCCTGATTGTTAAACTGTGTTTGCACTAGCTAACTATTAAGAAAAACTAACTTGATTGGTGAATTTACAAACAAAGAAACAAATTTACAGCACGTGTCTGCGTCGGCCGGAAATCCGCATTTCTCCGATTAAAAGGCCGCAAGAATTAACCGCGCGGGTTGGGGACAACAAGAGTGACGTCAGTTACGATTGATTGTCGTTAAACAAAGGCTTCCTCCCATTTTATTAACTACCAAACCAACTAATTTAAGCCTAGCGCTTACCACGTGTTTACACTCACACCAGCACATTCATAATGAATCTACGCCATGCAGTTTCTCTACCAACCCTCTAACTGAAATCTCCCTAGCGCTACGTGCCGCCATCTAACTCAATGATCATGCATTAAACCCGACATGTCTATTTGGTTGCTTATGTTTAACGATTCCCTTTTCGTGATTGAATTTTTTTTTTTTCAAATTGAAATTATTTAAATGTGATTTCGCGCCGCTGTTAATTAATTTCAGCGCGAAAACTTTGATTTAAATTCGGTCACCACACAGTCTTCTCTAAAATCTAGATTTGTGACTGTACGAATAGTGCGTCTCTGGTGAGCAAAAACGCGATATATCGGGATAACTAGGCTTCTTTTAGACAGTTTGGAAATACATCACTTTCAATAGTTCTGCACTCACACCGTAAATGACTTTTTTTGTACTTTAAACTACGAATTGATGACATTCCGCATAGCTTTTTTTTTGTTTACCGCAGTTTTAGCCTTTTGTATTGCCCACCTGTCTTTCGGAATCAGTGTTGTTTCGCAAATGTGTAGAGAGCGTCTACATATTGTTACGTTGTACGGGCGAATAAAAATTGGCGTGGATTAAAACTCAACAATTTATTTTTTAACAGTGTTGGGGGCAGATACTTTTAAAAGTATCTAGATACAGATTGTTTTCGATTTTTTCGAAATGTATCTAGATACAGATACAAGAAAACAGATACTTTTTGAAACTTTAGCAAATAAAATAACTGAAAACATGTTTATGTATATTTTATGTATTGTTTAATGAATTTTTTAAAATTAACAACATTTCGAACGAACATATTGTCACCTAAATTATTTCTTCTTGGTGTCAGAATTTGGTTTCCGCTACTAAGCAACCGTTCCACAGGTGCAGAAGAAGGGATTGTGGTATTAAATTTAAAAAATAAACATTTTACTGTAGCAGAGTTATTCAAGACTGAAAAATCTTTTCTTTTTTCCTGCAAATAGGCCATCGCTTCGCTGTTTGATGTGTCGCAAATTGTGCAATATTTATTACGTACGCTTAAAAACAATATATTTTTTTGTTTTTATTCGCATACTACAGTGTCCAAATTGTGTTTGAGTATATCTAATAATTATCTCCAGCATTAAAATTAATATTTCAAAAGAATACGGGAAATGATTATTCTATGCTGAAAGTCTGTTGTCGGCAACCTGTCATAAATTATTATTCTTCAATATCGGCTTACGATCTTTTTATGACCATGTCCGGTAATCGTCTATCCCGGTGCGACTTTAGGAAGAATTGTTGGTTCCGTTTAAGCCAAAATAACTACAATTTCTTAGAAAGGTATTTAAATCCCTTATACTTACCTAATTAGGATCAAACGCTGCTTGGCAGGCCGGAATCACCAGAGTGCAACTTTAAATTTTCAGATTTTTGTTGAAACTCATTTTTTTTAATCTCGTTTCACGATTTCTGAGAATATAGCACGATAAATTATTCTACCGAGGGTTGTAAAAATATTGATTTTATTGCCCAAGATTTACACTTAAACATAATCGGCACATTCTAGGGCAAAACGGACCTGCCAAGCCCGCCTGGCGTTAGGTCCAACAATGAAAAAGTGAAGAAATGACACATGTGGCAACAGGAAAAGATGCTACATTTGTCTGAAAAATAAAGTATAAAACAGTAACAAATATGCGATTTATGCTAGAGAAATGTATGTATTGAACATTCGATTAGTCGATTACAGAACTAATTTGTGCTAATTGAAAAAATTAATCATTATGTAACATTACTCTTATTTAATAACACAAACACAACCAGCGGGCCTACCGGACCAGGGTTGCTCAGGTACACAGATAAAATGCATTGCCCCGATAAGCGTAAACCCCGTGAATAATGAATTGTGGTTTATGGTTTTTAAAATACCATCTTACCATGGCTTAGATGTATTACCCCTCAGGATTATATTTAATATGTATAAGTACTGAAGGCTACAATGTAGGAAATGATGGTATTTAAAATATGAAAATTTCAGTGACAGAACACTATTAGTGGACCTCTTACCTCTATTTTTGTTTATGTGACCAAAATCACCAACATGAAGTATCAAAAATTACTACTATAGTATAACTCAACTAATAACTACTGAAAAAAAAGTGAAATAAAAAATGTATCTGTATCTGCACGATTAATTTTGTATCTAGATACAGATATTTTGTGCTTAAATTCGATTTTATCTAGATACTTTATTTAGATACAAGTATCTAGATACTGCACAACACTGTTTCTTAATAACTCGAATTTACACGATTAACTATTGCAACGATTGTGTACAGAAATTATTCCGGCGAATTTCACTGGACGCTCTTGACTCCACTTGCTGAATGATCCGTTCCCCAAAGGTGGACTCTATTTAAACACCACGTGCTCCTCCTCGAAGCCCTATGTCACCGCTTTTCGACTTCTCCGGAACCCCCATTCGCGACTTCCGTTTCTAGACGTTTCGGTGGCGATCCGCGCTGCTCTGTCGCTGCAATTGACGATGAGTCATCGTGTTCGGCGTATAGACAAAGATTAAGGAAAGTATAAGATGTCTCACTCGTCTCGATTCTTTTATTCTTTAGCTGTAGGCTCCAATGACCTTGAGTGATCTAGCCCTTTAAATGTGAGTTCTTTAAACGCGGCAAATTAAAAAATTATCTACTTCGAAGACGGTCTCTGTACTTAATTTCGTCGGATATCAAACATTAATAAAAACTCTATTTGCAAATATATTGTCTCCTCTACTTTGAGATAGGGTTCCTAATCAAGATTAAATATTAGTAAAATATATGCAGTAGATGCACCCAAGCAGCAGACTGTCGTCTAATTCACGTCAATTTTTGGTCATAACTCGTCGGCGACGTCATTCTCCCAAAAAATCACGTGATAATGACGAGATTTTTATGACTTACTTCTGACGTCAATTAATGACGTCAAAAGGCCGTCTTTTCTTCGTCATTTTTTATAGATTATATAATCAATTAGATGTGGGTCGTCGTATTCTTTAAAAAGTGGCCTTCATAATGCTGAATTATATTTAGAGCAAAAAATATAACGACTTTATTAGAAATACACCAAAGACACGTTTTTTCATTGTAATAATTTCTAATAAAATAATTATTTCTGAAAACTTGTCTGCTCTGGAAGTGTTATTTTGTAAGTACTTGCTTGGCAAATTATAAATAGAACATCCGGGGTTGAGCGTGAGACCCTACGACACAAACAAAGTCATAAAAATTCTTTGTCCATTGTCCCTAAAACGGGACAAGGTTTTGAAGAATTCCTTCGTCGAATTTTGATTTTATAGAGACGTTTCTAAAGTGATGATGGTTACCATAAAAATTTTATTTAATATTTAGTTTTATTAAATTTATTTCATCTAATGAAAAAATAATGCTCAACTTCCGTATTTACTGTACAATACATCAGATGTTTGAAGCGTGCATTCGGACTTTCCCCATTTTTAGGTATTTATGTTTATTGCACTTCACAGTGAAGCATTCCAATATTTCCAGTTGGTTCTCAACCACCGAAACTTTCTCGTGTATCCGTTACCCACTTCATTTTTAACGCAGTTTTGTGAAAATTTCTGCCATTCAATGTGAGTTGTACTTATTTACACTGGGTAAGTTAATATCTAATAAAGTAATCATTTTAATTTTTACGTGTTTCTGTTATTTTTGATAACTGTACGTAGATAACAAAAGCAGTTTTTTCAGATAAGCTGGAAGGACCACGATTAATCACTAAAGATACTTCCACTGATTATCATGAAGAACTTACGGTGATTGTTTTTGAAAATGAGGCGCCATAAAATATTGCAAAGGTATGTTACTGCAATTATTTATGAATAATGCTAATTTTATTCTAGATTTGAAACAAATACAAAACACATGTGCGAAACGAAAGAAATGCTAAAGGAAACGAGTGAAAAAATCTCCAACATGGAAACGTCATCAAATCTGACAACTGAAAAAGAAAACAAATATAGAAGTTATGCCGCCAAGACCACACCTAAACAAATTTTGACGAATTACAAGATTATCTTTGCCTATTCCCAGGCAACATGATGTCGTCTTTTTCACGTGAATAAATGGTCATCAATTACGTCATAGTGACCAAAGATTTCACGTGATATTGACGTACCAATGACGGTCAAATGTCTCGTCCAGATGACGTCATTTTCTAACGAACTACGGCATTTATTGTATACTTTCTTTAATCTTTGGTATAGACCAGAAAGGGGTGAAGGTTGTATTGCCGAATAGGCAACATGAAGGACATTTAGGGGCGGTTGCATAAACGCAAATCAAATTTAATCTCTGATTAACTCCATAGCAACGATTGTTATTATCATAGTTAAATAGTTCTTAATCAGAGATTAAATTTGATTTGCGTTTATGCAACCGGCCCTTAGCTTGTGGACGCCGGCATCGCATTTTGGATTTTTGAGGGGCAAGAGGTGGGTAGTAGGACACTGCGCAGATGCAGCCTGTGGCTGTGGGCTTCAGATTCTTCCCGGTCTTTTACTATTTACTGACATATGTCAATGTTGTGCGATGCAGTGTGATGTTTTGGAATAAAAGGTGTTTCACGGCTGAAATTCTCGCAAGTGACCGTGGAATTGATGTGAAAGGTAATGAAAATGTAATTATGTACTGATTGTTTGATAACAACCATGTTTCAGGACTGAGGCTTGCGCTTGAAGCGGAGGCAACACCATTGCAAAACATCACTTCGTCCTTCGAAGTATTTGGAATGATCTCAATGTGAATACCTTTTACTTTAAAATAACCTGGAGGAAATGGAAACCCTTGAATGGATCTGGTACTCCCAATTGACGTCTAGAAGTATTATGGTGGAAGGTTTGTGTTTTTGTTATTTTTTTGTTTATAACAGAATTGTTTTTTATTTTATTGTTAATTTCTGAATTGTATATATAGTCTATTTTTAATGTTTAATATACTTCGTTTGTAAAATTTTATGAATTTTATTTCTTTCCATTATTAAAACAAATAAGTAGTGATAGGCAACCGGTATGACACTATGTTGGAGTATGCAACTGGCAATACACGTAGCATGCATTTATTTGAATTTCCCACACTTTAGCATCGCAACATGACGGTCGAGAAATGTCACTGCTGCTGCCAATAAAATACATGGAGCCTGCGTTTTTTCTATATTGGTGTTCTGTGCAGAAAGGTCTCGACTGCAATAGGCCTCGCATCGGGCGGCGTAAGGCTGTATTTCGTACCAATATTTTAATTAATTCTCCGGTAAGCCATTTAATTTTGATTATTATCGCTTTTGTGTATACATTTCTCTGGATATGGCCACCTGCATTTGTCTACGCTTACGCTCCTACACGGCCGTCCGAATTCCGATAAAAGTTTGTTCCTGTTGACAGGAGGTCAAGGTGCGTCATCTAGCGACTATCAACCAAATCACTCGATGTCAAATTTTTGAAAATCAACTAACCGTTATTTTCAACTTTTTTTTTTTTTCTAACACTGACATTTTAAATCGTTTCTAAGATTCATTTAAACTCGACTACTAAGTTATCTATAAAATCCACTGTTCTTTATAAAGTACGTCGTCAATGGTAACGTCCTTTATACTATTTACAGTACGCTGCTTCATTTTTCGTAACATTTATTTATTGAATACAAAACTACAATTATTAAAATATAAATTTCCATTACTCTTGAAGGGTGAATTCTTGTTGTTGATGTTGATTGTCTCTACTACTTTCGAAGGCTGAATACAGCTTTGTACATCTAATCTGGTTGCTGACCTCTACATTGGAATCGTCGCTACTACTGTTTAAAAAATTAAAAAATGCTAAATGTATAGGTGATATTATGATAGATGAGCATAAACCCAGCATAAATCTGGTACTTACGCTTGCATCAAGGAAAGTCCGAATAACGTCTTCCGTCACTTTTTTTACACCTTTTTCTGACGTCCACTGATTAAAAGCCACGTACACCTTCTCATAAGCGTTTTTTGATTTTGCGGGTAATAATTTAGTGCGTAATTCATTGGCTTTTTCTAATATTCCGATTGAAAGGCGTTCACACATTTTAACGAACAAAATTTTTTTTTCAAAATTTGTTGATACTATTACCATGACTACTACCCACGGCAGCCTCAAGAAACATTTTGCCTCACTAAAAATCTCCCGATAAAATATTAATAACAGACGATTTCGCATCAAATAAGCTTCAGTGTTAGAAAACATTTTTAAGATAACACGGTGTTTTATAGTTGAAAGGACTCGGTCCCATTAAAACCTCGCTTTCTTCGGTCGCTCGGATTTAAACTGGGACCGCGTCCTTTAAAGTACCTATAAAACACCTAGTTATCTTAATAGCTATTAAGTTAAAAAATGGTTCGTAAGTGTTTAGTTTGCGGAAACACTGAAAAGCCACTATTTGAAATTCCCAGCGACCCAAAAATTCGAGAAAAATGGTTGCAATGGCTTGAAAAATTTTGTAAATAGTTTCTAAATTATTATTCTATATTAATTGTTTATGTAATTATCGGCATAACAAACATTACCCAACGGTCTGTTGTATGTTGAAAACATTTTGAAAATGAATCCCTTGTTTCCCCATTCAAAAAAATTCGTTTGAGTAAAAATGTCCCTACCTTTCCGGAAGCATAACTTATGAAAAGCCACAATATTTCGTATATTCTTTTGTTAAACTAGGCTGCTCCTGTTGATCCTATACCTGGCCCATCCAATACTGATACTCCTCAAGATCTACGTCCTAATCCTCTGAAAAAATCGTGTGATTCAGCGTGTAATAATTCCCACTCCATGTCTATAATCTCTGATCTTTGGTACAAATGTAAACTATTACAACAAGAACTGAACCGAGCTAATGAGAAATATCTCAAAATGACAGAGGATTCATGAACTGGAAGATGAGAAAAAAGAAAACTATGAAAAAATAAAGATTGTGGATGCAATTACGGCAGATGCGGATGCAGGCGAAGAAAAGGCTATATTTTTGATAAACTTGGTCACAAATTATTCTAAAAAAGTGCCAAGATGGTCTACAGTAGCAATTAGACTGTGTACAGTGTGGAAATTTTGTTCCCCAAAAGGATACAGATTTTGCCACAATCATTTAGTCAAGCTTCCATCAAAAGACACCATTTGTAAATATATTGATAAATACAAAGGTCAGAATGAGTTGATTCGACAACGTTTGGAAGCTAAAATAACGCAGTTCAAACATCCCATTGAACGTGTATGTTCACTAATTGTTGATGATATGGCAATCAAGGAAAAAGTGAACTATAGCAGAGCAGAAGACCACATTTTTGGCTTAGACACCGCTACTTGTTCCACTATTGGTAAAAAACCGCGTGTAGCCAATAAAATGCTGTGCTTTGTCATCCATGGATTGTCCAGAAAGTTTACCATCCTGTAGGATATTTCTTTCATGCAACCCTAACATCTAAAGATTTTTATTTGTTGACACAAAGAGTCTTTCGCTTGGTTACAGATTGTGGATTTGTAGCAATAAGATTAGTTGCTGAAAATTTTTCCGCAAACGTGTCACTATTTAAAAGCTTCGGAAATGGAAGTCTGAAAAATCGTGTAGATCATCCCACACTTGAGAATATGTCTCTATTTTTTTCATTCGATTTCTGTCATGCACTGAAAAATGCTCGACATGACATGAGTTCCTCCCAAGGCACAATTTCATCTTCCTACCTGAAAGAACTGCATGAGTTACAACAAGGAATGCCCATCAAGCCCGTAAGATATTTTACTAAAAAACATCTCTATCCTTCTAATTTCAAAAAAATGAATGTTTTACGTGCAATACAAATTTTTTCTCCAGCTGTGACATCTTCTTTACGGTTTCTAAAAGAAGAAGGCCAGGAGCAATTCAGCGGTGTTGAAAGCACAATTACTTACATGGAGAATATGTATTATTTCTTCAGAATTCATAACGTCTCAAGAAAAGATGATTACATTCGTTGTCTGGATAGTGCAGTAGCGCCATATATACATATTAATGACGAACGTCTTGAATGGTTGAATTCTACATTTCCTGATTATATTGACGATATTCAGACGACTTCTGCCAATGTTAATTTAAAGGGATTGACAAAGGAAATTGCGGAGGCTTTAAAATTCACTGCTAAAAGTACTTATAGATATACTTAATACCTGTGTATCAAGTTTTTACTTCAAGAAGCAGGATTTTACTATGTGTTAACAAGGTCTTTCAGTTCCGACGCAACTGAGGGAATGTTTTCACACGCACGACTCAAGGGTGGTTCAAATGACGCAACGAACGAAAGAAGCGCAGAATATGCTTTGCGACAAATTTTGAGATGCGGAATTATTAAAGCCTCTTCCTCGGCAAATACAGTAACCAACACAGACTCAATTAGCCGTGCTCAAATGACACTTACACACACAGAACATTATATAATTTCTGAAGTAGATCACGGAGTAGACGTTACAATGCGTGCAGCCACACAACTAACACCACTAACACCAGAAAACTTGCCGCTTGATTTAAATGATAAATTAGAGAATCTGAGTGCCAGCGCTGAACCAAGCGAAAATATTTATTCGGCTTCTGTGGCATTTCTTGCAGGATATGTAATAAAAAAAATAAACGACAAATGGGCCTGTGATGTATGCCTCACACCACTGTTGTCCAAGACCATACCAGGACCACTATTGAAATTAATCCTTCTGCAAGACCGTGGAGGATTAACTTACCCAAATGATGATGATCGGATATAGCAATATTTATTGGAAATGTCGAATATAGCGAGAGGAGTCAATGTTACCGAAAACATTATCAAAGCAGTTTTTGTATCGAGTTTGAAACTAGAACTAAAGAGCGACAAGACGGTTTTCATTCACATGTGTCCACAACTTTGTTCGAACTCTAATCAAGGTCGAACACTAAAGATTTAACATTAAATTGCATAGACGTTGGCACCTATTATATCTCACTAATATCGCGTGATTTTTTTTTAACTTTTACGTAACAGTATAATTGAAACTTCTAACATAAGCGTCATAGCTAACTGTAACAGAGATAAAAAAAATCAGCCGGGATTTAACATTGTTTCTCTGATATATATGTCAGGTGCAAATCTCGAGACAAAAAGGGCACTCTTTCATTGGACGATTTTAATAGTGGGGAAGTTTTCTAATTTCTTCAATCAAATTGCTTCCTTGTTAGTTCTGTTTTCGTGTTTAATGTAGTTTTTTGTCTGGACGCTTCTATGATTTTTTTTGTTTTAGTTTCTCTTCAGATAACGAATCCGCATGATAACGGTATCGATACTCGAGTTTCAGTTAGTTAACTTTATTCGTGCAACGTGATACAACTTACATAAAAACGGTTAACAAATTTGGTTTTAAACGAAGGGTTTACTTTGTACAGGTACGTATATTTTGTATAATATATAAATTATCTTTCATTCATTCCGTATATACTTCTTTTTCCAATTTCTACAAATAAAATGCTCATTTTGTATATTAATAAATCTAGCTATTAAAACAATAGTTTAATCGAATGGATGAATAAAATATTTATAGCAACACTTTATTCACACTGTCATTGACAACACGAATAAAGTAAAAAATCTAAAAATTCGCACTACCACTGAAATTTTCGTTGCTATGGATGTGTGGATATTCAACTAAAATTTGCAACGCTTGATAGCCCACCTCCTGTAAAACAATCCTAATGAAAGTCCAGGAACATCCTTTGAATTTGACCGTGACGAAAGTACAGGCAGCTTAGGCAATTTACCTTCTTTAAGTGTTCATCATATTAGTTACAATTAATATTTATGTATATGGATTACCTAAACAATAAATTTTTTGAAAAATTTTGCGAAATTGGAAAAAAACTTGTATGATACACGTGAATAAACACATTTTATCCACACAAAAACATTATCATACTCGGCTTCGCCTCGTGTGCTAAACTATTTTTTCGTTGGATAAAATTCACTTTTATTCACTTATACCATAAATAGCTATTAATTATGTAAGTTTGTGTCAACATTATGTCTACAATAAACTAATAACTGATTAATAAAATAACAGTTGCAGTTGTCTAGAACACTTAAAACAGAAACGAATAAATGACAACATTCATAAAAATGGAAAATTATTTATTTGGGTAGACTATGAAAATACATGATAATTTTTTTTTAATTATCACTCAAAGAATTTATATAAATATGTCCAATGAAAAAAGTAACTTAACAAATTGCAAAAAATAAATATTTTGCTGTCGTTATGAAGATCAGAGTATCAAAATATAAGTACTTATCCTTCTAATAAATTAGGTACCAAAATTATCTCTTTATTGTTGTCAAACCAAATATTAAGGTCACCAAGGTATACGTTAATCTAATAATTATTCCAATAGCCCTTCCAAGAGCCCTTGAATTTTCTTCAGACTTCTTTTGTATGAATTGTACGATATATCAAATCACCGTTTTGTGGCTATTGTTGGCCCCACTGTGTTCGCTTGGGTTACTTTCAATGTTAATTTCATTTGAGCTATTCTCTTGGGATATTCCGATGAATGTGGAACCCATTTGTGCTAAACTCCTGCTCTGATGGTTATGAATTCATGGGTAAAACCGTTTTTCTCCTGTCGATGTATCCTTCGGTCCCTGAATCCGATTTTCACCCACCAAGTCTCTTTAAAAATGTTAAGACACCTCCACACCTCCTTCTGAAGCAGTGGTCAGTCAATGTTTTCCCGTTGGCCACATTCTTTCCCTTGCTTCCGATCTTATGGATGCCAGTCACATTCCGAGTGCACTTTCTGTGTATATTTTCAGAAAAAAAGACGATCTTCGGACATATAGCTTCACGTTAGGCACGTATTTTCTATACAGTTGGAGCAAGCAATCTATATCTTGAAGTTTCATATTTACTGGTCCATGATTCTCTAACCAAAGTAAACAACTTTAAGCACTCTTATTTATCCACGTCCAGAATATTTTTAATTCCATATGCCTTTGCTAAAAGACTAAGACATTCTGTCAGAACAGCAAATATTTTGCCTGATTTCCCCCTTATGCTTTTTTAGAAAGTACGGAGGTGCAAATATTAAGAAATTTCCACATTCTCCAGTAGCTCCACAATGAAGAACGTTTCTTTTATAAATAAATATTTACTAATGCAATAAAATAACCCAACAATGCATAACCGGAGTATTTTTTTGTTTTTAACTTCTCGAGCATAAGCTGAAGTCCGTCAGACGACTACTTTCATGTTTTCTCAGCGTTTGAGACACCAGTACAGCATTAAAAATAGATCTCTCGTCCCCGTGTGTCTGTCACCTGCGTCGATATTTATAATAAGACAAATAATTTCCAAAACTATTGCACAGATTTTTGTTGTCACGACAGTTTTTGAAGTTTGCAAACTCTTCGGGGCAAGATGTAAAGTAATGTATTATAAACAGGCTTCGGCAATGTGGAAGTGGTGCATCATTCGCACTCATTGCCGTCCGGCAGCGACCTACTGCCAGCGCTATCACAATCGTGGCCACGTTTTCTGCTACAATCTCGAGCATTCGTAGTGACAATGACTATTTTTTCCAGAGTCTCCTCAGTTAGACGAGTTCTCCTAGATGTTAAAATGTTTTAAAAATTAACAATGACTGGTCAACATCACAATTTTCGTGATGATCTTGTTTAGATAAACCCTGATTTGCATCAAACGCCACTGAGGTTGTGACGTGGTTGAGACTGTACAGTCGGCCAGCCAAATTTATCGCCTGGTGTCGCGCCGGCGTACTTATTATTTGTCTGGCGGATTCCTCAGCAGTCGTCATCACTTCCACGTTGATTAAGCCTGATTATAAAATTGCACAAAGATAGATTGGACCTGCTGAATCAGCGTAGGAAAAATTTGGACCCACAGCCCTGAAAGTTCTAATTTTACACAATCAAATATATTACTTTAAAAACAATTTTTTCCTGTATTGAGTGCGATGACGATATTTTGTGAGCTGCGTCTGGATTTAAGAATCGGCAAAAACACTGCAAGTAATTTGTGATGAGAAAACGTTTCTTTTCACGAGAGGGCTGTTAAGTAATAATCTGCACATTATTGGAGTTAGTTATCACTGAAGCGTTTTTACATTGTTATTTACTTTGTTACACAATTAATGCTTAGTACAAATATGTATATCTGTCTTTAGAATGATCTCTAAATAAAACGTAACACTATTACTTAAATAGTATTGTTCAAGAAATTGTTAACGTCTCGTTTTAGGACTTGGCTGTGGTAACAATTTTGCATTATGGAAGGCAAAAGTGTCTTTAACAAGTACAAACTACAATCACATCCTCAGGAAAATTCTAATTTCCTCTCCGACTTATTTTTCTGGTAAACTTAGTAAAACTGTTAAAATCACTCTTACTTGCAAACTTATAGTTGGACAATTCCAATGTTTAAGATTGGTATTAAAAAAGAACTAACAGAAGAAGATATTTATCAAACTCTAGAACGTCATGATGCTGGTAGATTTGCAGGTGAATTAGAAAAAGCCTGGAACGAGCAATTGGGTCAAGGTGTTAAACCTTCGTTATGGAAAGCGATATGGAAAATTTTTAAATGGGATATTATAACGTCAATGATCCTTTATTTTTTTATAGAATTCATCATCAGGTAGAACGAATCAAAAGTGTTCACACGTAATTACAACAATTTTTTTTAGAATTAGCCGACCGGTAGCTTTAGGAAAATTAATGGGCTACTATTCGCCCACTGAGACGGAAGTATCAAAGTCTGATGCCATAATATATGCATCTATTATAGTGATAGCATGTTTTATTGATATGGTTACTTGGCATACCTGGGTAATGCATTTTCAGCAGCTTTCGATTAAAGTTAGGGTTGCAGTATCATCTTTATTGTACCGAAAAGCTTTACGACTTAGTAAAAAAGCTTTAAATGAAACCACTGTAGGCCATATTATCAACTTGTTGTCGAATGATATGAATCAGTTAGTATTATTCTGTGGAGCTTTCAACGCACTGTGGGCGTCTCCTCTTCAAG